TGACATCCTCTAAGCCACGAGGCAGGGTATCAGCCATTACACAGAATACAAAATGGAGGCACAAATAGCGTCTCAGTGAAGATAGGTGCATCTGTTCATTGTGGGGCTTTAAGAAGCATTGTCTGTAAGTTCGTTTATGTTCTTATAATACTGGGAATGCTGTTATAATGTTAGAATGTTGGTTATGATGCTGTAAATGCCTTTATAATGCTGTTACATTTTTATGATAAATATGAGGCCTAGTTAACAACGAAGCCTGCCACTTGCCTTATTGTGAATGTTACTTGCAATCGAATAAGTCGAGTCAGACTTGTATCCAAGTAACTATATTGCCATCTTGAGAGCAAGGATGACGACATTTCCCATCCACAGTTCAGTGTTATGTGCAGTGCTGTACATTTAGGCTGCAGTATGGTGATTACACGATGTGCCCTTATTTAACACAGCAGCTTATTCTCTTGTGTAGCTATTCAGTGCTAATGTAGGTGCCTGGTTCATCCTGGTTCTATTGTTGAGTTTCATGTTATCTAAGACAATGTTTTGATGCTGTAGTATTCATTAATTGTATTGATATTTACAAGTATTAACAGATGCTGTATTTGTGCTGTGTTTTCCCATCAGTTTTACCTCGTTCAATTCATTAAATACGTTTTGAGTCGGATGTTCACCCTGGCTCTGAAGGTGTATTGAATGCGAGGTTGATTAATCGGATAGTGGTGCAACGCAGCGCACAGCGAGGCCGAGATAATCACACTCCACTCACTGTGTAGAACAGGGGTAGCTCACTCACTCACTCACACTCACTCACTCACACCAACACTCACACACTCACTCTCACACACTCACTACCAAACTCACTCACACTGACTGTGTAGAACAGGGGTAGCCCACACACTCACTCACAATCACACCAACACTCACACCCACCCACACTCACTCACACACACCCACACTCACTCATACACTCACTCTCTCACACACTCACTCACTCCCACACTCACTCACACTCACTGTGTAGAACAGGGGTAGCCCACACACTCACTCCCACACTTACACACACTCACTGTATAGAACAGGAGTATTCCACACACGCTCACTCCCACACAGAGACGCGCCCGACCTGGGAGTTGAACCCAGGCGCCCTCATTGCCCCTGGCACCTCACGAGGAGGAGACGCGGACACCCCTCGCGATTAGAGCCACAGTCGTCTTCAAATATTCTTAGGTTTTTTCGCTAAAGTCACGAAGGTAAAACATTAAAATTAATAAAAGTAAAATAAAAATAATATTTATATTTTTAATTTTACTTTAATGAATTTTTATTTTAATTTTTTACCTAAGTGACTTTACCGAAAAAAACCGAAGAATATGAATCCTTGCGGTCACGAAAGCTTCAAATCCAGAGTCGTCTTCACATAATTCATTCGTCACAAAAGTCGACGATGGAACAATCTTCAACAAATCTGCGCCCGGTCATTATTTTTTGTTTATTTTATTTTAACTTACAAGTAATGTAAAACGTACACCTCGAGATATATATATTACATAAATATAATTCATATGTACTCTTTGGTTCTTTCGGTAAAGTCACGTGGGTCTAAAGTGAATTAAATCACGACGTTTCGGGTGCAACACCAGCATCCATCATCAGGTGGTAAAGCACGAAACGTCGTGATTGATTTTATTTCCTACCCACGTGACTTCACCCAAAGAACCAAAGAGTATGGATCCCTGCAGTCACGAAAGATTCAAATCAAGATAGAATTCACGTGCTGATAATCGATTTGTTTTTGATAAAGTGTTACATTGGGTTCACCGAAAGTTGTTGACCTGCGATAATATTCACAGCGATCTACCCACATTAGGAAGCCTCTTTGTAGCCATGATTCACTTTCATGTCATCAGAAGTGGCAGTCTCATTTCTTTAGAAGGTACAAATTACACTCTACACTACACTATACACTGCACTACTATACACTACACTACTATACACTACACGACTATACACTACAATATACACTACACTATACACTACACTACTATACACTGCACTACTATACACTACACTATACACTACACTATACACTGCACTATACACTACACTACTATACACTGCACTACTATACACTGCACTATACACTACTATACACTACATTACTATACACTGCACTATACACTACACTATACACTGCACTATACACTACACTACTATACACTACATTACTATACACTACACTACTATACACTACACTATACACTACTATACACTACACTACTATACACTACACTATACACTACACTACTATACTCTACACTACACTACTATACTCTACACTACACTACTATACACTACACTATACACTACACTATACACTACACTATACACTACAATACACTATACACTACACTACTATACACTACACTATACACTACTATACACTACACTACTATACACTACACTATACACTACACTATACACTACACTACTATACACTACACTACTATACACTACATTACTATACACTACACTACTATACACTACACTATACACTACTATACACTACACTACTATACACTACACTATTATACTCTACACTACACTACTATACACTACACTACTATACACTATACACTACTATACACTACACTATACACTACACGGACTCTCTCTCTCTCTGTAGACCCCGCTAGCTCTCACACCGCTCGCCTGTCCGCACCTCCGACCTCGCCCGTGACCCCCAGCGGGGTCGGGTCGACCCCGCCGGGCAGGACGGGGCGTCGAGGGCGAGGTCCCCGGACTTCTCTTCAACCTCTTGGCAGCGTCGCCTCCGTACCGACTCAACCCGACTGCCTCGCGTCGCCCCCCCTCCTGGTGTCACCCTCCTGGTGTCCACCTCCTGGTGTCACCCTCCTGGTGTCACCCTCCTGGTGTCCACCTCCTGGTGTCACCTTCCTGGTGTCCACCTCCTGGTGTCACCCTCCTGGTGTCACCCTCCTGGTGTTCACCTCCTGGTGTCACCCTCCTGGTGTCACCCTCCTGGTGTCACCCTCCTGGTGTCCACCTCCTGGTGTCACCCTCCTGGTGTCACCCTCCTGGTGTTCACCTCCTGGTGTCACCCTCCTGGTGTCACCCTCCTGGTGTCCACCTCCTGGTGTCCACCTCCTGGTGTCACCCTCCTGGTGTTCACCTCCTGGTGTCACCCTCCTGGTGTCACCCTCCTGGTGTCCACCTCCTGGTGTCCACCTCCTGGTGTCACCCTCCTGGTGTTCACCTCCTGGTGTCACCCTCCTGGTGTTCACCTCCTGGTGTCACCCTCCTGGTGTCACCCTCCTGGTGTCCACCTCCTGGTGTCACCCTCCTGGTGTCACCCTCCTGGTGTCCACCTCCTGGTGTCACCCTCCTGGTGTCACCCTCCTGGTGTTCACCTCCTGGTGTCACCCTCCTGGTGTCACCCTCCTGGTGTTCACCTCCTGGTGTCACCCTCCTGGTGTCACCCTCCTGGTGTCACCCTCCTGGTGTCACCCTCCTGGTGTCCACCTCCTGGTGTCCACCTCCTGGTGTCACCCTCCTGGTGTCACCCTCCTGGTGTCCACCTCCTGGTGTCACCCTCCTGGTGTCACCCTCCTGGTGTTCACCTCCTGGTGTCACCCTCCTGGTGTCACCCTCCTGGTGTCAACCTCCTGGTGTCCACCTCCTGGTGTCACCCTCCTGGTGTTCACCTCCTGGTGTCACCCTCCTGGTGTCACCCTCCTGGTGTCCACCTCCTGGTGTTCACCTCCTGGTGTCACCCTCCTGGTGTCACCCTCCTGGTGTCCACCTCCTGGTGTCCACCTCCTGGTGTCACCCTCCTGGTGTTCACCTCCTGGTGTCACCCTCCTGGTGTCACCCTCCTGGTGTCCACCTCCTGGTGTTCACCTCCTGGTGTCACCCTCCTGGTGTCACCCTCCTGGTGTCCACCTGGTGTCCACCTCCTGGTGTCCACCTCCTCGTCAAGCCGGCGTCTTCCCCGACGCCTCTCGCAGGCGCTCTCTCTCTCTCGGCCCCCTATCGCCACCATCTCTCGCCTCCGTGGCGCCTACCCCCTCGCGCGTTTGCATTCGCAGCCAGCCAATCATCGCCTCTGTCCTGTCGTCTCTCTGTGAGCTGTCACCCAGGCAACCCACCTACACCTGCTCGTCACCATTCGCCACCAAGTAGCAGTGACGTCACCACGACGCTTGTGCCAGGCCATGTGCACCTTGAGGCCACGTGAAGATGTTGAATGCCCGCTGGCAGGAGGTCACGGGGCAGACCCAGCAGGTGCCACGGGTCGACTGACCGAGATGACCAAGATGACTGGCTGATGCACCACCTGTACCCCCTACTGTACCAACTTGCTGTGCTTTAGCCACCCGGCGCTCCGCTCGTTGTTGTGAGCGTCGCTCCTCCGTCCTCCGTTGTTGTTGGAGGACGACTGCCTCCAACTGCCCAGTAGCGTCCTTCACGAGCCTCCTCCACAGAGGCCGATCTTGACACCGCTGGTACCAGTCATCGGCAAGTCCACTCAGCTCCACGTCCTCCTGAACCACATCACTCCATCTCTTCTCTAGCCCGTGTACACACACACGTGTACAAAGACAAAGACCTCCCCATGTAGCCTTAACCGACTGTCGTGGCAAGTGCTGTTAGCGAGCACCTATGAAGGCCGGAACGGCACACGAGGGGGTGGATGGCCAGCACCACGCCCGACCGCCTTTGTCTCCCCAGTGGCGATGTTTACACACCGCACCAGGTACTCATTTGAGGCTGAGTCGACCTAGGGGAGGCCCAGGACCGGTTCAGATAATCGTCATTGGTATTGGCCGTGAGCGGGAATCGAACTCGGCTCGCCAGGTTCATAGCGCAGCGCGCTAACCGCTACACCACCACTCCCCACACACACACACGTACACACACACGCACACACACACACGTACACACACACGTATACACACACACACGTACACGAGGGTACGCCTCCTTCACAAGACGACGGTGACGTTGACGCGCGTGAGCAGCGCTCCGGGGAGATTGACGCTCAGGGAGCCTTGAAGCGTCTTCATCTGCAAGAGAGACACAGAGAGTCACAGAGACACAGAGAGACAGAGAGAGAGACAGAGAGACACAGAGAGACACAGAGAGTCACACAGAGAGACATAGACACAGAGGCACAGAGAGACACAGAGAGACACAGAGACACATAGACACAGAGAGACACAGAGAGACACAGAGACACATAGACACAGAGAGACAGAGACACAGAGAGACAGAGAGACACAGAGAGACAGAGAGAGGTCACGTTGGATGACGTTGGCGAACACCACCACCATCACCACCACCATCACCACCACCACCATCACCACCACCATCACCACCACTACCACCACCATCACCACCACCACCACCATCACCACCACCATCACCACCACTACCACCACCATCACCACCTCCGCCCACCCCAGCGAGAGACGCTGCAGCAGGAGGAGGCAGCCTCACCAGGATTGTGACCTCACCAGGATGGTGACCTCACCAGGATTGTGACCTCACCAAGATTGTGATCTCACCAAGATTGTGATCTCACCAGGATGGTGATCTCACCAGGATTGTGATCTCACCAGGATTGTGACCTCACCAGGATTGTGATCTCACCAGGATTGTGATCTGCATCTTGGCATCCGACAGGGAGACATTTGCATCGGCCTCGAACCGCATTTGGACGTAGAACTTCCTGACTGAGGAACGAGACAGCAGAAGGTTGCGTGATTGTTGATGCTGGCAGTGTAAACTCTTTGGTTCTTTCCGTAAAGTCACGTGGGTAGAAAATAAACGAAATTAAATCACGACGTTTCGGGCGCAACACAAGCGTCCGTCATCAGGTGGGACAACCACAGCAAGAAACAATTGCTGAAGTGGGACAACAAGGGCTGCTAGTAAACACATTCCTGCTGCGGAGGGAGCTGGTAGGAACGTTGTTGGGTTGCTCGGTCAATGGCCTGCAGGGTCAACGGCGGCGTGGTGTATTCCGCAAATATGGCCGACTGTGAGGGCGGGCACAAGCCGGCGTGAGTAGGTTAAACGTTGAGTTTTATAAGGGCACCACGGGGTGACTAGCCCCTCCCCACCCAGTCCCACCCCTCCCACCCCCACCTAGCCCCTCCCTCCCCACCCAGCCCCTCCTGCATGACGGACGGACGGACACAATAATCCCCTGTGGGCTGGTGTAACCAGGAGGTTCCTACCAGTATAACAAGAGGCTATATAGGTAAGAGAGGGGGGGGGGGGGAGCCAGGGAGCAGAGACAAAGAGGGTGGGGGTAGGGGGAGTGGAGTGCTACAAGCTCAAACTTGCAGCATTCCGAGACCAAGGTGCTCTGCAAACCTTCGGGCTACTTTCAAAGGTTTCTTCATGAAGCCGTCCAGATATATAAACACAGACGTAACTTCAACCGGGAAGATGGATTCAGATTGAGCAATCATTGGAAGGATGTTATTCACCAGGTACAACCTTCACTGCTTCATGGTGTTGACTTCATCTTCCGCATCTGCAGTTTCTTCAGCCTCCTACCCCCAGGCCCGCTCACTTCCCAGCCGCGGCTTTTTGTCGAGATCGTGTCGGAGCCTGTAGCGCTCCACTCCCCCTACCCCCACCCTCTTTGTCTCTCCTCCCTGGCTCTTCCCCCCTCTCTTACCTGTATAGCCTCTTGTTATACTGGTAGGAACCTCCTGGTTACACCAGCCCACAAGGGATTATTGTGTCCGTCCGTCCGTCGTGCAGGGAGGGGCTGGGTGGGGAGGGTGGGGAGGGGCTGGGTGGGGAGGGTGGGGGGTGAGAGGGGGGGGGGGGGCTGGGTGGGGAGGGGCTGGTCACCCCGTGGTGCCCTTATAAAACTCAACGTTTAACCTACTCACGATGTTGAGGTTGGTGATGTGGTTGATGGTGGTGTTGTTGATGAGAGGGGTGTTGTCGTGGTTGTTGTTGATGCTGATGAGGGTGTTGGCGAGGCTGGTTCTCGTGATGATGCCACGGTCAGTTGTGGACTTGCATGAAGCAACGCTGACGATGGTTGTGATGATGATAGTTGTGATGACGATGTTGGTTGTGATGATGACGGTTGTGATGATGATGGTTGTGTTGATGATGGTTGTGTTGATGACGGTTGTGATGATGATGGTTGTGTTGATGACGGTTGTGTTGATGACGGTTGTGATGATGATGGTTGTGATGATGATGGTTGTGATGACGATGTTGGTTGTGATGATGACGGTTGTGATGATGATGGTTGTGATGATGATGGTTGTGATAATGATGGTTGTGATGATGATGTTGGTGATGATGATGGTTGTGATGATGATGGTTGTGATGACGATGTTGGTTGTGATGATGATGGTTGTGATGATGATGGTTGTGATGATGATGGTTGTGATGATGATGGTTGTGATGACGATGTTGGTTGTGATGACGATGTTGGTTGTGATGATGATGGTGGTGATGATGATAGTTGTGATGACGATGGTTGTGGTGATGATGATGGTTGTGATGATGATGGTTGTGATGATGATGGTTGTGATGATGATGTTGGTGATGGTGACGACGACGTTGATGATGAGTGGGATGATAATGATGTTGATGATGATGGTGGTGATGATGATGTTGATGATGATGGTTCGGATGATGATGGTTGTGATGACGATGTTGATGTTGATGATGGTTGTGATGACGATGATGATGATAGTTTGGATGATGACGACGTTGAAGATGATGATGTTGATGATGATCGTTGGGATGATGTTGATGATGATGATGTTGATGATGATGTTGATGATGATCGTTGGGATGATGTTGATGATAATGATGTTGATGATAATGATGTTGATGATAATGATGTTGATGATAATGATGTTGATGATAATGATGTTGTTGATGACGATGTTGATGATGATTGAGATGATGAAGTTGATGATGATGACAATGTTGATGATGACTGAGATGACGATGTTGATGCAGACGGAGATACGAGCGTGGTGGTGCATGCCGCTGATGCAACCGTTGTATCACCTTGCGGCGAAGCTGTTGCCGTCTGTCCAGCTGTTGCGGGTGGTCCAGATGTTGTTGTCGATAGAGCTGCTGTTGTTGCTGTTGTTGTTGCAGTTGTTGCTGTTGTTGTTGTTGTTTCGTTGACTCCAGCTCTGGCTGTCGATGCTCCGGTGACGGCGGCGGCTCTGGTTGTGCGGGCAACCGCTGTCGTGGTCGCAGCCAATGTTGGTGGGAGCGGAGCTGTCGGTGTCTGGGTCGTGTTCCAGACGGGGTATGATGGTGACGTTCTCGCTGAAGCAGTTTGGGGTTGGGGTGTTGGTGGTGAGGGTGACGTCGTTGGAGGCGATGATGGAGATGTTTGTGTTGATGTGATTTGGGGTTGGGGTGTTGATGGGAAGGGAGTCGTTGTTGGAGGTGATATTATTGTAGGTGGTGTTGTCGTAGGTGTTGTTGTTGTTGTTGTAGGTGTTGTTGTTGTTGTTGTAGGTGTTGTTGTTGTAGGTGGTGTTGTTGTTGTTGTAGGGGGTGTTGATGTAGGTGGTGTTGTTGTTGTTGTAGGTGGTGTTGTTGTAGGGGGTGTTGTTGTTGTTGAAGGTGGTGTTGTTGTAGGGGGTGTTGTTGTTGTTGAAGGTGGTGGTGTTGTTGTAGGTGGTGTTGTTGTAGGTGTTGTTGTTGTAGGTGGTGTTGTTGTAGGTGTTGTTGTTGAAGGTGGTGTTGTTGTAGGTGGTGTTGTAGGTGTTGTTGTTGTAGGTGTAGTTGTTGTAGGTGGTGTTGTTGTAGGTGTTGTTGTTGAAGGTGTAGTTGTTGTAGGTGTAGTTGTTGTAGGTGGTGTTGTTGTAGGTGTTGTTGTTGTAGGTGGTGTTGTTGTAGGTGGTGTTGTAGGTGGTGTTGTAGGTGTTGTTGTTGTAGGTGTAGTTGTTGTAGGTGTTGTTGTTGAAGGTGTAGTTGTTGTAGGTGGTGTTGTAGGTGGTGTTGTTGTAGGTGGTGTTGTAGGTGTTGTTGTTGTAGGTGTAGTTGTTGTAGGTGGTGTTGTAGGTGTTGTTGTTGTAGGTGTAGTTGTTGTAGGTGGTGTTGTAGGTGTTGTTGTTGTAGGTGTAGTTGTTGTAGGTGGTGTTGTAGGTGTTGTTGTTGTAGGTGTAGTTGTTGTAGGTGTTGTTGTTGAAGGTGGTGTTGTTGTAGGTGGTGTTGTAGGTGTTGTTGTTGTAGGTGTTGTTGTTGTAGGTGTTGTTGTTGTAGGTGTTGTTGTTGTAGGTGGTGTTGTTGTAGGTGGTGTTGTAGGTGTTGTTGTTGTAGGTGGTGTTGTTGTAGGTGTGTTGTTGTAGGTGGTGTTGTAGGTGTTGTTGTTGTAGGTGGTGTTGTTGTAGGTGTTGTTGTTGTAGGTGGTGTTGTTGTAGGTGGTGTTGTAGGTGTTGTTGTTGTAGGTGGTGTTGTTGTAGGTGGTGTTGTTGTAGGTGGTGTTGATGTAGGTGGTGGTGTTGTTGAAGGTGTTGTTGTAGGTGGTAGTGTTGTTGTAGGTGGTGTTGTTGTAGGTGTTGTTGTAGGTGTTGTTGTGGAAGGTGGTGGTGTTGTAGGTGGTGTTGTTGTTGTAGGTGGTGGTGTTGTTGTGGGTGGTGGTGTTGTTGTAGGTGTTGTTGTTGTAGGTGTTGTTGTTGTTGTTGTAGGTGGTGTTGTGGAAGGTGGTGGTGTTGTTGTAGGTAGTGGTGTTGATGTAGGTGATGGTGTTGTAGGAGATGTTGTTGTTGGAGCTGCTGTTGTTGTTGGAGCTGCTGTTGTTGTTGGAGCTGCTGTTGTTGTTGGAGCTGCTGTTGTTGTTGGAGCTGCTGTTGTTGTTGGAGCTGCTGTTGTTGGAGCTGCTGTTGTTGGAGCTGCTGTTATTGGAGCTGCTGTTGATGGAGCTGCTGTTGTTGGAGCTGCTGTTGTTGGAGCTGCTGTTGTTGGAGCTGCTGTTGTTGGACCTGGAGTTGGTGGAGCGGCTGTTGTAGGAGATGCTGTTGTTGGAGCTGCTGTTGTAGGAGCTGCTGTTGTTGGAGCTGCTGTTGTTGGAGCTGCTGTTGTTGGAGCTGCTATTGTTGGAGCTGCTGTTGTTGGAGCTGCTGTTGTTGGAGCTGCTGTTGTTGGAGCTGCTGTTGTTGGAGCTGCTGTTGTTGGAGCTGCTGTTGTTGGAGCTGCTGTTGTTTGACCTGGAGTTGTTGGAACTGCTGTTGTTGTAGCTGCTGTTGTTGTAGCTGCTGTTGTTGGAGCTGCTGTTGTTGGAGCTGCTGTTGTTGAAGCTGCTGTTGTTGGACCAGGTGTTGTTGGAGCTGCTGTTGTTGGAGCTGCTGTTGTTGGACCAGGTGTTGTTGGAGCTGCTGTTGTTGGAGCTGCTGTTGTTGAAGCTGCTGTTGTTGGGACCTGCTGTTGTTGGAGCTGCTGTTGTTGGAGCTGCTGTTGTTGGAGCTGCTGTTGTTGAAGCTGCTGTTGTTGTAGCTGCTGTTGTTGGAGCTGCTGTTGTTGGAGCTGCTGTTGTTGGACCAGGTGTTGTTGGAACTGCTGTTGTTGGAGCTGCTGTTGTTGGAGCTGTTGTTGTTGGAGCTGCTGTTGTTGGAGCTGCTGTTGTTGTAGCTGCTGTTGTTGGAGCTGCTGTTGTTGGAGCTGCTGTTGTTGGACCAGGTGTTGTTGGAGCTGCTGTTGTTGGAGCTGCTGTTGTTGAAGCTGCTGTTGTTGGACCTGCTGTTGTTGGAGCTGCTGTTGTTGGGAGCTGCTGTTGTTGGAGCTGCCTGTTGTTGAAGCTGCTGTTGTTGTAGCTGCTGTTGTTGAAGCGGCTGTTGTTGGAGCTGCTGTTGTTGGACCAGGTGTTGTTGGAACTGCTGTTGTTGGAGCTGCTGTTGTTGAGCTGTTGTTGTTGGAGCTGCTGTTGTTGAAGCTGCTGTTGTTGTAGCTGCTGTTGTTGGAGCTGCTGTTGTTGGAGCTGCTGTTGTTGGACCAGGTGTTGTTGGAACTGCTGTTGTTGGAGCTGGGGTTGTTGGAGCTGCTGTTGTGGAGCTGCTGTTGATGGAGCTGCTGTTGTTGGAGCTGCTGTTGTTGGAGCTGGGGTTGTTGGAGCTGCTGTTGTTGTAGCTGCTGTTGTTGGAGCTGGGGTTGTTGGAGATGCTGTTGTTGGAGCTGCTGTTGTTGGAGCTGGGGTTGTTGGAGCTGCTGTTGTTGGAGCTGCTGTTGTTTGAGCTGTTGTTGTTGGAGCTGGGGTTGTTGGAGCTGCTGTTGTTTGAGCTGTTGTTGTTGGAGCTGCTGTTGTTGGAGCTGCTGTTGTTTGAGCTGTTGTTGTTGGAGCTGCTGTTGTTGGAGCTGCTGTTGTTGAAGCTGCTGTTGTTGGAGCTGCTGTTGTTGGAGCTGCTGTTGTTGGAGCTGCTGTTGTTGGAGCTGCTGTTGTTGGAGCTGCTGTTGTTGAAGCTGCTGTTGTTGGAGCTGCTGTTGTTTGAGCTGCTGTTGTTGGACCTGGGGTTGTTGGAGCTGCTGTTGTTTGAGCTGCTGTTGTTTGAAGCTGCTGTTGTTGGAGCTGCTGTTGATGGAGCTGCTGTTGTTGGAGCTGCTGTTGTTGGAGCTGCTGTTGTTTGAGCTGCTGTTGTTGAAGCTGCTGTTGTTGGAGCTGCTGTTGTTGGACCTGCTGTTGTTGGAGCTGCTGTTGTTGGACCTGCTGTTGTTGGAGCTGCTGTTGTTGTAGCTGCTGTTGTTGTAGCTGCTGTTGTTGGGGCTGCTGTTGTTGTAGCTGCTGTTGTTGGAGCTGCTGTTGTTGGAGCTGCTGTTGTTGGAGCTGCTGTTGGAGCTGCTGTTGTTGGACCTGCTGTTGTTGGAGCTGCTGTTGTTGGACCTGCTGTTGTTGGAGCTGCTGTTGTTGTAGCTGCTGTTGTTGGAGCTGCTGTTGTTGGGGCTGCTGTTGTTGGAGTTGCTGTTGTTGGAGCTGCTGTTGTTGGACCTGCTGTTGTTGGACCTGCTGTTGTTGGAGCTGCTGTTGTTGGAGCTGCTGTTGAACCTGGAGTTGTTGGAGCTGCTGTTGTTGGAGCTGCTGTTGTTGGAGCTGCTGTTGGAGCTGCTGTTGTTGAACCTGGAGTTGTTGGAGCTGCTGTTGTTGGAGCTGCTGTTGTTGGAGCTGCTGTTGTTTGACCTGCTGTTGATGGAGCTGCTGTTGTTGGAGCTGCTGTTGTTGGAGCTGCTGTTGTTGGAGCTGCTGTTGTTGGAGCTGCTGTTGATGGAGCTGCTGTTGTTGGAGATGCTGTTGTTGAAACTGCTGTTTGTGGAGCTGCTGTTGTTGGAGATGCTGTTGTTGAAACTGCTGTTGTTGGAGCTGCTGTTGTTGGACCTGGAGTTGTTGGAGCTGCTGTTGTTGGAGCTGCTGTTGTTGAAACTGCTGTTGTTGGAGCTGCTGTTGTTGGAGCTGCTGTTGTTGGACCTGGGTTGTTGGAGCTGCTGTTGTTGGAGCTGCTGTTGTTGGAGCTGCTGTTGTTGGACCTGGGGTTGTTGGAGCTGCTGTTGTTGAAACTGCTGTTGTTGGAGCTGCTGTTGTTGGACCTGGAGTTGTTGGAGCTGCTGTTGTTGGAGCTGCTGTTGTTGGAGCTGCTGTTGTTGGACCTGGGGTTGTTGGAGCTGCTGTTGTTGAAACTGCTGTTGTTGGAGCTGCTGTTGTTGGAGCTGCTGTTGTTGGAGATGCTGTTGTTGAACTGCTGTTGTTGGACCTGGAGTTGTTGGAGCTGCTGTTGTTGGAGCTGCTGTTGTTGAAACTGCTGTTGTTGAAACTGCTGTTGTTGGAGCTGCTGTTGTTGAAACTGCTGTTGTTGGAGCTGCTGTTGTTGAACTGCTGTTGTTGGACCTGGAGTTGTTGGAGCTGCTGTTGTTGGAGCTGCTGTTGTTGGAGCTGCTGTTGTTGGGAGATGCTGTTGTTGGAGATGCTGTTGTTGGACCTGGAGTTGTTGGAGCTGCTGTTGTTGGAGCTGCTGTTGTTGGAGATGCTGTTGTTGGACCTGGAGTTGTTGGAGCTGCTGTTGTTGGAGCTGCTGTTGTTGGAGCTGCTGTTGTTGGAGATGCTGTTGTTGGACCTGGAGTTGTTGGAGCTGCTGTTGTTGGAGCTGCTGTTGTTGGAGCTGCTGTTGTTGGAGCTGCTGTTGTTGGAGCTGCTGTTGTTGGAGCTGCTGTTGTTGGAGCTGCTGTTGTTGGAGCTGCTGTTGTTGAGCTGCTGTGTTGGAGCTGTTGTTGTTGGAGCTGCTGTTGTTGGACCTGGAGTTGTTGGAGCTGCTGTTGTTGGAGCTGCTGTTGTTGGAGCTGCTGTTGTTGGAGATGCTGTTGTTGGAGCTGCTGTTGTTGGAGATGCTGTTGTTGGAGCTGCTGTTGTTGGAGATGCTGTTGTTGGAGATGCTGTTGTTGGAGCTGCTGTTGTTGGAGATGCTGTTGTTGGAGCTGCTGTTGTGGAGATGCTGTTTTGGACCTGGAGTTGTTGGAGCTGCTGTTGTTGGAAGCTGCTGTTGTTGGAGCTGCTGTTGTTGGAGATGCTGTTGTTGGACCTGGAGTTGTTGGAGCTGCTGTTGTTGGAGCTGCTGTTGTTGGAGCTGCTGTTGTTGGAGCTGCTGTTGTTGGAGCTGCTGTTGTTGGAGCTGTTGTTGTTGGAGCTGCTGTTGTTGGACCTGGAGTTGTTGGAGCTGCTGTTGTTGGAGCTGCTGTTGTTGGAGCTGCTGTTGTTGGAGATGCTGTTGTTGGAGCTGCTGTTGTTGGAGATGCTGTTGTTGGAGCTGCTGTTGTTGGAGATGCTGTTGTTGGAGATGCTGTTGTTGGACCTGGAGTTGTTGGAGCTGCTGTTGTTGGAGCTGCTGTTGATGGAGCTGCTGTTATTGGAGATGCTGTTGTTGGAGCTGCTGTTGTTGGAGCTGCTGTTGTTGGAGCTGCTGTTATTGGAGATGCTGTTGTTGGAGCTGCTGTTGTTGGAGCTGCTGTTGTTGGAGCTGCTGTTGTTGGAGCTGCTGTTGTTGGAGCTGCTGTTGTTGGAGATGCTGTTGTTGGACCTGGAGTTGTTGTAGCTGCTGTTGATGGAGCTGCTGTTGTTGGAGCTGCTGTTGTTGTAGCTGCTGTTGTTGGAGCTGCTGTTGTTGGACCTGGAGTTGTTGTAGCTGCTGTTGATGGAGCTGCTGTTGTTGGAGCTGCTGTTGTTGGAGATGCTGTTGTTGGAGCTGCTGTTGTTGGACCTGGAGTTGTTGTAGCTGCTGTTGATGGAGCTGCTGTTGTTGGAGCTGCTGTTGTTGTAGCTGCTGTTGTTGGAGCTGCTGTTGTTGGAGATGCTGTTGTTGGAGCTGGAGTTGGTGGAGCGGCTGTTGTTGGATCTGCTGTTGATGGAGCTGCTGTTGTTGGAGCTGCTGTTGTTGGAGCTGCTGTTGTTGGATCTGCTGTTGATGGAGCTGCTGTTGTTGAGATGCTGTTGATGGAGATGCTGTTGTTGTAGCTGCTGTTGATGGAGCTGCTGTTGTTGGAGCTGCTGTTGTTGGAGCTGCTGTTGTTGTAGCTGCTGTTGATGGAGCTGCTGTTGTTGGAGCTGCTGTTGTTGGAGCTGCTGTTGTTGGAGCTGCTGTTGTTGGAGCTGCTGTTGTTGGAGCTGCTGTTGTAGGAGCTGCTGTTGTTGGAGCTGCTGTTGTTGGAGCTGCTGTTGTTGGACCTGCTGTTGTTGGAGCTGCTGTTGTTGGAGCTGCTGTTGTTGGAGCTGCTGTTGTTGGAGATGCTGTTGATGGAGATGCTGTTGTTGAAGCTGCTGTTGTTGGAGCTGCTGTTGTTGGACCTGCTGTTGTTGGAGCTGCTGTTGTTGAAGCTGGAGTTGGTGGAGCGGCTGTTGTTGGATCTGCTGTTGTTGGAGCTGGAGTTGGTGGAGCGGCTGTTGTTGGATCTGCTGTTGTTGGATCTGCTGTTGTTGGAGCTGCTGTTGTTGGAGCTGGAGTTGGTGGAGCGGCTGTTGTTGGATCTGCTGTTGTTGGATCTGCTGTTGTTGGAGCTGCTGTTGTTGGAGCTGGAGTTGGTGGAGCGGCTGTTGTTGGATCTGCTGTTGTTGGAGCTGCTGTTGATGGAGCTGCTGTTGTTGGAGCTGGAGTTGGTGGAGCGGCTGTTGTTGGATCTGCTGTTGTTGGATCTGCTGTTGTTGGAGCTGCTGTTGTTGGAGCTGCTGTTGTTGGATCTGCTGTTGTTGGAGCTGGAGTTGGTGGAGCGGCTGTTGTTGGATCTGCTGTTGATGGAGCTGCTGTTGTTGGAGCTGGAGTTGGTGGAGCGGCTGTTGTTGGATCTGCTGTTGTTGGACCTGCTGTTGTTGGAGCTGCTGTTGTTGGAGCTGCTGTTGTTGGAGCTGGAGTTGGTGGAGCGGCTGTTGTTGGATCTGCTGTTGTTGGATCTGCTGTTGTTGGATCTGCTGTTGTTGGACCTGCTGTTGTTGGAGCTGCTGTTGTTGGAGCTGCTGTTGTTGGAGCTGGAGTTGGTGGAGCGGCTGTTGGTGGATCTGCTGTTGTTGGATCTGCTGTTGTTGGATCTGCTGTTGTTGGACCTGGAGTTGGTGGAAGCTGCTGTTGTTGGATCTGCTGTTGTTGGAGCTGCTGTTGTTGGATCTGCTGTTGTTGGAGCTGCTGTTGTTGGAGCTGCTGTTGTTGGACCTGCTGTTGTTGGAGCTGCTGTTGTGGATCTGCTGTTGTTGGAGCTGCTGTGTTGGAGCTGCTGTTGATGGAGCTGCTGTGTTGGAGCTGCTGTTGTTGGACCTGCTGTTGTTGGAGCTGCTGTTGTTGGAGCTGCTGTTGTTGGAGCTGCTGTGTTGGAGCTGTTGTTGTTGGAGCTGCTGTTGTTGGAGCTGCTGTTGTTGAGCTGCTGTTGTTGGACCTGCTGTTGTTGGAGCTGCTGTTGTTGGACCAGGTGTTGTTGGAACTGCTGTTGTTGGGAGCTGCTGTTGTTGGAGCTGCTGTTGTTGGAGCTGCTGTTGTTGGAGCTGCTGTTGTTGGAGCTGCTGTTGTTGAAGCTGCTGTTGTTGGAGCTGCTGGTTGTTGGAGCTGCTGTTGTGAAGCTGCTGTTGTTGGAGCTGCTGTTGTTGGAGCTGCTGTTGTTGGAGCTGCTGTTGTTGGAGCTGTTGTTGTTGGAGCTGCTGTTGATGGAGCTGCTGTTGTTGGAGCTGCTGTTGTTGGAGCTGCTGTTGTTGTAGCTGCTGTTGTTGGAGCTGCTGTTGTTGGAGCTGCTGTTGTTGGACCTGCTGTTGTTGGAGCTGCTGTTGATGGAGCTGCTGTTGTTGGAGCTGCTGTTGTTGGACCTGCTGTTGTTGGAGCTGCTGTTGTTGGAGCTGCTGTTGTTGGACCTGCTGTTGTTGGAGCTGCTGTTGTTGGAGCTGCTGTTGTTGGACCTGCTGTTGTTGGAGCTGCTGTTGATGGAGCTGCTGTTGTTGGAGCTGCTGTTGTTGGAGCTGCTGTTGTTGGACCTGCTGTTGTTGGAGCTGCTGTTGTTGGAGCTGCTGTTGTTTGACCTGGTGTTGTTGGAACTGCTGTTGTTGAAGCTGTTGTTGAAGCTGCTGTTGTTGGAGCTGCTGTTGTTGGAGCTGCTGTTGTTGGAGCTGCTGTTGTTGGAGCTGCTGTTGTTGAAGCTGCTGTTGTTGGAGCTGCTGTTGTTGGAGCTGCTGTTGTTGGAGCTGCTGTTGTTGGAGCTGCTGTTGTTGAACCTGGAGTTGTTGGAGCTGCTGTTGTTGGAGCTGCTGTTGTTGAACCTGGAGTTGTTGGAGCTGCTGTTGTTGGAGCTGCTGTTGTTGAACCTGGAGTTGTTGGAGCTGCTGTTGTTGGAGCTGCTGTTGTTGAACCTGGAGTTGTTGGAGCTGCTGTTGTTGGAACTGCTGTTGTTCGAGCTGCTGTTGTTGGAGCTGCTGTTGCTGGAGCTGCTGTTGTTGGAGCTGCTGTTGTTGGAGCTGCTGTTGTTGGACCTGGGGTTGTTGGAGCTGCTGTTGTGGAGCTGCTGTTGTTGGAGCTGCTGTTGTTGGAGCTGCTGTTGTTGGAGCTGCTGTTGTTGGAGCTGCTGTTGTTGGAGCTGCTGTTGTTGGAGCTGCTGTTGTTGGAGCTGCTGTTGTTGAAGCTGCTGTTGTTGGAGCTGCTGTTGTTGGGAGCTGCTGTTGTTGGAGCTGCTGTTGTTGGAGCTGCTGTTGTTGGAGCTGTTGTTGTTGGAGCTGCTGTTGTTGGAGCTGCTGTTGTTGAAGCTGCTGTTGTTGGAGCTGCTGTTGTTGGACCAGGTGTTGTTGGAACTGCTGTTGTTGGAGCTGCTGTTGTTGGAGCTGCTGTGTTGAGAGCTGGCTGTTGTTGGAGCTGCTTTGTTGGAGCTGCTGTGTTGAGCTGCTGTTGTGGAGCTGCTGTTGTTGGAGCTGCTGTTGTTGAAGCTGCTGTGGTTGGAGCTGCTGTTGTTGAGCTGCTGTTGTTGGAGCTGCTGTTGTGGAGCTGCTGTTGTTGGACCTGCTGTTGTTGAAGCTGCTGTTGTTGGAGCTGCTGTTGTTGGAGCTGCTGGTGTTGGAGCTGCTGTTGTTGGAGCTGCTGTTGTTGGAGCTGCTGTTGTTGGAGCTGCTGTTGTTGGAGCTGCTGTTGTTGGAGCTGCTGTTGTTGGAGCTGCTGTTGTTGGGGCTGCTGTTGTTGGAGCGGCTGTTGTTGGAGCTGCTGTTGTTGGAGCTGGCTGTTGTTGGCGCTGCTGTTGTTGGAGCTGCTGTTGTTGGAGCTGCTGTTGTTGACCTGCTGTTTGTTGGGGCTGCTGTTGTTGGAGCGGCTGTTGTTGGTAGCTGCTGTTGTTGGAGCTGCTGTTGAGGACCCTGCTGTTGTTGGAGCTGCTGTTGTTGGGGCTGCTGTTGTTGGAACTGCTGTTGTTGAAGCTGTTGTTGAAGCTGCTGTTGTTGGAGCTGCTGTTGTTGGAACTGCTGTTGTTGGAGCTGCTGTTGTTGGAGCTGCTGTTGCTGGAGCTGCTGTTGTTGGAGCTGCTGTTGTTGGAGTTGCTGTTGTTGAACCTGGAGTTGTTGGAGCTGCTGTTGTTGGAGCTGCTGTTGTTGGAGCTGCTGTTGTTGAACCTGGAGTTGTTGGAGCTGCTGTTGTTGGAGCTGCTGTTGTTGGAGCTGCTGTTGTTGAACCTGGAGTTGTTGGAGCTGATGTTGTTGGAGCTGCTGTTGTTGGAGCTGCTGTTGTTGGAGCTGCTGTTGTTGGAGCTGCTGTTGTTGGAGCTGCTGTTGTTGGAGCTGCTGTTGTTGAACCTGGAGTTGCTGGAGCTGCTGTTGTTGGAGCTGCTGTTGTTGGAGTTGCTGTTGTTGGAGCTGCTGTTGTTGGAGCTGCTGTTGCTGGAGCTGCTGTTGTTGGAGCTGCTGTTGTTGGAGTTGCTGTTGTTGAACCTGGAGTTTTGGGCTGCTGTTGTTGGAGCTGCTGTTGTTGGAGCTGCTGTTGTTGAACCTGGAGTGTTTGGAGCTGATGTTGTTGGAGCTGCTGTTGTTGGAGCTGCTGTTGTTGGAGCTGCTGTTGTGTTGGAGCTGCTGTTGTTGGAGCTGCTGTTGTTTGGAGCTGCTGTTGTTGAACCTGGAGTGCTGGAGCTGCTGTTGTTGGAGCTGCTGTTGTTGGAGCTGCTGTTGTTGGAGCTGCTGTTTTGGAGCTGCTGTTGTTGGAGCTGCTGTTGTTTGGAGCTGCTGTTGTGAACCTGGAGTTGTGGAGCTGCTGTTGTTGGAGCTGCTGTTGTTGGAGTTGCTGTTGTTGGAGCTGCTGCTGTTGTTGGAGCTGCTGTGGTTGGACCTGGGGTTGTTGGAGCTGCTGTTGTTGGAGCTGCTGTTGTTGGAGCTGCTGTTGTTGGAGCTGCTGTTGTTGGAGCATGCTAGTTGTTGAGCTGCTGTTGTGAGCTGCTGTTGTGAGCTGCTGTTGTTGGAGCTGCTGTTGTTGGAGCTGCTGTTGTTGGAGCTGCTGTTGTTGGAGCTGCTGTTGTTGGAGCTGCTGTTGTTGGACCTGCTGTTGATGGAGCTGCTGTTGTTGAAGCTGCTGTTGTTTGACCAGGTGTTGTTGGAACTGCTGTTGTTGGAGCTGCTGTTGTTGGAGCTGCTGTTGTTGAAGCTGTTGTTGTAGCTGCTGTTGTTGGAGCTGCTGTTGTTGGAGCTGCTGTTGTTGAAGCTGCTGTTGTTTGACCAGGTGTTGTTGGAACTGCTGTTGTTGGAGCTGCTGTTGTTGGAGCTGCTGTTGTTGGAGCTGCTGTTGTTGTAGCTGCTGTTGTTGGAGCTGCTGTTGTTGGAGCTGCTGTGTTGAAGCTGCTGTTGTTGGAGCTGCTGTTGTTGGAACTGCTGTTGTTGAAGCTGCTGTTGTTGGAGCTGCTGTTGTTGGAGCTGCTGTTGTTTGAAGCTGCTGTTGTTGTAGCTGCTGTTGTTGTAGCTGCTGTTGTTGGAGCTGCTGTTGTTGGAGCTGGGGTTGGTTGGAGCTGCTGTTGTTGTAGTCTGCTGTTGTGTAGCTGCTGTGGTTGGAGCTGCTGTTGTTGGAGCTGCTGTTGTTGAAGCTGCTGTTGTTGTAGTGCTGTTGTTGTAGCTGCTGTTGTTGGAGCTGCTGTTGTTGGAGCTGGGGTTGGTTGGAGCTGCTGTTGTTGTAGGCTGCTGTTGTTGTAGCTGCTGTTGTTGGAGCGCTGCTTGTTGTAGCTGCCTGTTGTTGGAGCTGCTGTTGTTGGACCTGCTGTTGTTGAGCTGCTGTTGTTTGAAGCTGCTGTTGTTGTAGCTGCTGTTGTTGGAGCTGCTGTTGTTGGACCTGCTGTTTGTTGAAGCTGCTGTTGTTGGAGCTGCTGTTGTTGGAGCTGCTGTTGTTGGAGCTGCTGTTGTTGGAGCTGCTGTTGATGGAGCTGCTGTTGTTGGAGCTGCTGTTGTTGGACCCTGCTGTTGTTGAAGCTGCTGTTGTTGGAGCTGCTGTTGATGGAGCTGCTGTTGATGGAGCTGCTGTTGTTGGAGCTGCTGTTGTTGGACCTGCTGTTTGTTGGAGCTGCTGTTGTTGGAGCTGCTGTTGTTGGAGCTGCTGTTGTTGGAGCTGCTGTTTGTTGGACCTGCTGTTGTTGGAGCTGCTGTTGTTGGAGCTGCTGTTGTTGGAGCTGCTGTTGTTGGAGCTGCTGTTGTTGGAGCTGCTGTTGTTGAAGCTGCTGTTGTTGGAGCTGCTGTTGTTGGAGCTGCTGTTGTTGGGAGCTGCTGTTGTTGGAGCTGCTGTTGTTGGAGCTGCTGTTGTTGGACCTGCTGTTGTTGGAGCTGCTGTTGTTGGAGCTGCTGTTGTTGGACCTGCTGTTGTTGGAGCTGCTGTTGTTGGAGCTGCTGTTGTTGGACCTGCTGTTGTTGGACCTGCTGTTGTTGGACCTGCTGTTGTTGGAGCTGCTGTTGTTGGAGCTGCTGTTGTTGAACCTGGAGTTGTTGGAGCTGCTGTTGTTGGAACTGCTGTTGTTGGAGCTGCTGTTGTTCGAGCTGCTGTTGTTGGAGTTGCTGTTGTTGAACCTGGAGTTGTTGGAGCTGCTGTTGTTGGAGCTGCTGTTGATGTTTGACCTGGGGCTGTTGGAGCTGCTGTTGTTGGATTTGCTGTTGTTGGACCTGGTGCTGTTGGAGCTATTGTTGCTGCAGCTGTTGTTGATGTGTTGGTAGGAGTGTTATAAGTTGCTGCGACTTGTCCCTGCGTTGTCGCCAGCGATGGCATCATGTTTGGTTGTGTTGATGTTGTTGATGCTGCTACTCCTGCAGTGTTTGGTGGTGGCGTGGTGTTTGTAGTTGTTGTGGAAAGCACTGCTGATGTTGTTGTTGTTGTTGTC